TAGTGGAATGAAAAGCGTTCGTTGATACCTGTGGGATTTAGACTGCCGGTTTGAAAGATGAGCTTTTGTTCAAGAGTTTTGCGGCTTTCCGTGCTACCTAAGTGTAAGGAAAGACCGCAGATTGCAATATGTTGCTTAGAATGATTGGGTAAATTAAAATGTTTAGCGACTGGTTTCGATGTGTCCTCTCATTCCTCTCCACGTCGCGAAGGTGTTCTCGGAATCGGTCACATAGCTCCATTTTCTGCCTTTGAAAGCACACACAACCCACAATTCCTCTATTCGCTCCGACGAAGGGCTAACGCTCGAAACGTCAGCTTTTGTAATCGTTACGGTGGCCAATTTACCATTTCAACTTTGTTGATATATCCAAATTATTTCGTTATCCCCACCGACGCAGCCCCAAACAGTTTCTCTAGAAACTATCAGCCTTTATTCATTTATATTTTAAAAGATTTCTCCTGGTCGTAACCCTTCATGAAACCAAACAGTTCATGGTTATTTCCTCACATGGATATATACACAACGCGGTGATAACTAGATAGGTACATTCGAACATGGAATAAATAAGAATTAAAACCCTTTAACAACATCGACTGGCAGTCAAGGATGTTTAAAAAGAAGAGAAATCTTCCCTTGAGAATAAATAATTAAATTATTTCTCTGTAGTTTTTTTTTCCGGCTGGCATAGTGTCAACAGATCTTAACATACGCAACTAAACACGCACTTCCGCCCACTTCCGCCTTTTGCTCGAACAGCGATTGGCATGTTTTTCTCATGTAATTTTGTAACATAGATTGTTAATAGAAATGTATACCAACCTCTGTCAACTCTCACTTAGTTCTACTCCAATAATTTCTTTTCAGCACGCGAAATGCTTGGGTATGTGACTCGTGAAAAGCTTTCACATACTTGCCAAAGTCTTTCTTCGACCCGCTTACTCAGCAAATCACTTCGCTGACCTCTTGCAACACTGTTGCAGAAAATGGGAGAGCTAGGAACCTAGGGGCGAAGGAGCGCAAATTTAAGATAAAAGAAATTAAAAACAAGCAAGAGAAAATGAATTTTTCATTCGGAAGTTATCTGGACGATACCGCCCATTTCCTGGCTGCGTGGGACGTCGAGAAAGCCGGCGAGAAGGTGGAAGAACTGAAGAAAAGTCTACGCCATCGTCAAAAGATTATCAAACTTGCTGATAAGAGCGAAGCCGGTTGGCTGGCTGTTAAAGAACACCAAACCGAGGAGCTCGCAAACGACTCAGAGGACGAGAAGAGGATCAAAAAATCGCAAGAAAGAGCTCTAAAGCAGAAGAAACAAAATGCCTTCAAAAGAACCGAGAAAGCCAGGAATTCGTCTAACGCTCCAAGTTCTCGCTCTGGCGACGATATGAGACTTTTTCGAGGTACGCTCATTGCCCTTTCTCTGATTTTCAGCGTGGCAGGCAAGTGCTCTCACTCTGCCTGCCTTATAGTTTGTGTCTATTTGTATGCGTCAGCGTTCTGGAGAAGGAAAATATTTTTCCTGCGGACGAACGTAGTGAGGGAGTAGGAAAACGAGATTTCCTTTGATCGCAGTTTGGTAGAAAAATCGGGGCTTAACTTGGTGTTCGCATTATAAAGACAGGGTCCACCTAACAAAGGTTTCACAATATTTACTAACCCCTTAAAGTCCTGTGGAAACTGTTAATCTATAGAACTACTCATAAAGATTCTTGAGACGAGATTGATCATTTGGCTTTATTGTAGTTATAATAAACAAATACTGCAAAGATTAGAAATGCATATGTTTATAAGGAGACTGCGCAGGCAGAAATCGTGTTCTCTTGTCAAGCTCATATTGAACCTGACAGGAGAGCGATGTATCACTACGTGAGCCAGAGAATAAGTGAACGTATCACAAATGACTCAGCCTGGGCTTATACCCGGAGCAACACAACGAAACACAACTGAAAAAACTTTTCAGTATCGACATGCTCAAAAACCTACTTTTCCGTAGCGTGCCATGCACATTTGTTTCAGAACAAGTGTTTTTATCTCTATATGATACAAACAAGTTTTTTAATACTTATCGGATTTTATCATGTACGTGTAAATTGCAACAGCAAGTAAGTAAGCTAGTTATTATCCAAACAAGACAATTCTATTTTGTCTGTAGCATTGAAAATCAAGTATAATATGGGACACTAGAAACCCGCCACATTACTTTGCTGTCCTTGGTAAATGGTGTTAAATTGGTACAAGCTCATTGTGAATGTTGGCATTGCATTCCTGTTTAGCTTCAACCTTTCAATTGTTTGTAATTGTTCACACAAGCGCAGCTAACGAAACAGATG